GCAGCCGCGGCAAATTTGCTCCCGTTGTAAACGATGACTGGAAACTTGGACAGCCAGGAGGGTGAGATAGGAAAAGAAGCGAAGAAGAGACAGGATCTTCAAAGAACAAGATCTCCGAGGCCACCTGGGCCTAGGCTCTCCATCTCTTTCTGCCAGACATTGATAGCGGCTTGCAGTAACTGAGACCTGCGTACGCGCCTGAAATCTCCCCCCTGCGATTTGGAAATATAGCCCCTTCCCCCTTTTTTTCAGAAATGGCATTGCATGGGCAAATATACAGATTTGGTTGACCACTTCTGGCCGACAGTTTTGGTTTATCTCACAAGAGATGTATGGCAATGGTTTGCGGGTATATCCATCATACGTTGACCTCTCTCATGTAATTCGATAATTGTAAAAAGAAAGAAAAGAAAACTGGTCGAGCGAGTTTCCTACTACCTGTCGGAGTGCTTTCGGGACTCGAGCTCAATATCGTTGCTGGTATACTGCTTCTTGCCGTTCGCCGAGCCGTTGGCCGAGCCATTGGAGCCGTTTGCACCGTTGGGGCGACGGCCCTCGTCATCGCTATCGGCGAGGTCGGTGAGGCCGAAACCCGCAGCCTCTTCCTCGTCATAGGCCCGGATCAGGCCCTGTCTGTCGCCGTGAAAGCTGCTGAGACTGTGCCTCGAGGTGTTTTCGCTCCTTCGGGACTGCATGCTGCGGCGAGTCTGGAAGCCAGAGATCATATCTGTTCCAGCAGCGTCAAAGTCACCGCGTGACGCAACCAGCCTCTGGCCGTGAGGGTCTCCTCGAGAAAGGTTCAACAGGTATACGCCGGTAAATGTAATGAGGAAGCCGCAGAGCAACGAGAGCGTGTTGACGGGATCGGTGGTGTTGAAGCCGCTGAAGAGGATAAAGGAAGCGCAGAGAGTCGCGGTGGTGAATGTGACGTAGTAGAGCGGATTCACACTGGGAAATCGTCAATCAGTATTGGCGACTAACAAAAGTAGAAGAATTCAGACGAGGCTGGTGTTCACCAAGCTAAAACTCACATGTTGGTCGGGAATGATGCCAATGCCTTGTTGAAGTAGTTCATCTGGGTCAGAATGCAAACTGCCGTGAGGATCATGAAGACGTAGGTCGAAGGATGCGTAAATTGATTGTGGCCGGCAAAGGTGAGCTTGAGAGCGATTCCAAAGGCCTTGACGGACATGACGGAGATGGAGCCAACGGTGGAGCAAATGGAAAGGTAGATGAGGGCGTTGCGTTTGCCGTAGACGGGTGCGATTCGGTAAATCATAAAGACTGCAAAAGCCACGACGGCAAAGGCGTACAAGAGAAAGCCTGGTCACCATTAGTTTTCTGGACAACAACACCTGGCAGCTCAAAATGTCCCAAAGACAAAAGCAAGAGCAAGGGAGAATCGTCATCGTTCGTACCTGGCTGGATGGCATAGTGCAGAATCTGGTCGATCGTCTGGATGTCCTCGTCCGGGGGTGCGTGTAGAACAATAACGACGGCACCGATGAGGCAAATGGCACTGCCCAGCTTGCCCAACGTGCCGAGCTCTTCATCCAAAAAGTATGATCCCAAGACGGCGCCAATCAGGACACTGAGAGCACCGAGAGGAGTGACGAGGATGGCCGGGGCGAATGCGTAGGCGGCAAAGTTGCAGATTTCTCCGACACCAACTAGAAAGAGGAGGAAGAGGTTAACGCGCGTGCGTGAATAGGGCCGGGGATGGGTGTCAAATGCTCACGGGTTGCGATACCAGCCCACCACAAGGGGCTTCTCAGATATACAAATCCGTCGCCTTCGAATCCGTGTCGTTCTTCGGCTTGTAATAATCCCTATGCGAGGTGTCAGCAGAGCAGGTTCCAGTTTTCGGTTGAGCCGGCTGAGCATCGCATGTTGCCGAGAACCGCCGTGGTCGCCGCAGAAAGAATCTGACCTTTTTGGTGATGACGAAACTGGTGCCTGAAGAGATCCAAGAGTCAGTATGAACACGCTGCAAAAGTGAAGGAGTCAGAGAGAGGTGGTGGGCAAGGACTGGACATACCAATGGCCAAGGCTGATGACATGGCCAACGCCAGGCCGATGTATCTAGAGCAAGGGTAAAAGAGTCAGCGGGACGACGTTCTGTTGGTCCTAAAAGAGGCCTCTTCGGGATGCAAACGCACTTGTCTTCAATCATGCTGAGCGAGTGGTTTCTGGCGCGCGCAAACCGGCGACAGAGGCAGAGCAAATGCAAATGCAAAGGTGTGTTGTGTCGATCGAGTCTTCCTCAGCGCTCCCTGGAAAAGGGAAGAGTCGCGAACAGGACAAAATGAGCGTGCGTGCGCAAGGGCGGGATCGTAGCGAATGCGTGGTGCCGAAAGAAATGAAGACGAAGAAAAAAATGTAGACGACGCTGCAGTTGGGGATTCGCGGCGACTCGAAGGCGGGGGAGCCGAAAGGTCGAAGTGCTGAGCGTAAGAGTAAGAGAAGCGTCGTCAGATCAGATCAGATCAGATCAGGCCCATCAAAGAAATAAAGAGAGCGAGGCTCCTGTCGTCGTTTGGATCGTCGTGATATTTTTCGTTCTTTTTTTTGTCTGCAAGGGAGGGAAAGGGAGAGGCGACAAAAGGTGCTAGCAGTCGTGCCGTGGCCTGTTTCCCCAAGTCACACCAGATGCTGTTGCTCGTCGTCCAATTCGTTACAAGGCAAAGAAAAATGCAAGATGCAAACGCAGCACAGATGCAACGCCGAGCCGTGAAAGGAGAGGGAAGAGGAAGAGGAAGAGGAAGAGAGAGGGCAAGAAAAGGCCTGGCGATGAGGAGTTTTGCACAGTGAAGGAGAGAAGAAGGGAAAAAAGGAACGATCGCGGATGTATTTTGTGGTGGCTTGTGGCTGGATGGGATCGAATGGATTGGATTGAAAGTTGGGACTCGGTTTAGGCGTCGGTTGTAATAGTGGGTGGCGCTTTTTGGGGGAGTGGATGGACATGGAGGGGGGGAGGCGAACCTCTGGGAATGAGATCAGTGACCTCAATGGATCAATCAGTTGCGTGTCTCACCAGCGTCTTTCTGGGCCTCTGGGCCTCTGGCAGTGCGTGTACAGGGCGCGGGCATCGGTATCAGCGGGCCACGACAGAGGCGCAAGGCCCTGGAAGCACAGTTGAGCGCTAAGCTGGAGGGAATGAGGGACCAGACGGGTACCTGAGGGGCTAGCGGCCCTTTGTGACTGCACTGATTTCTTACAGCACCTAAACCAAGGGCCCTATAAAAAGAAACACTGGAACCCTTGCACTTTGTGAGTAGATGACACTTGATGATTGGTAAAATATTGCGTGCGTCATCAAGTATCGTGTACAAAGAAAGCAGCCAATTTACCAAAGCACATTGACTGCATGCAATCAAGGGATGGAGGGGAGCCCTTTTGTCCAACCCCCCCAGTCCCAGCTGCAATCCCAATTCCCGGCCCCATGCAAAGCACAGCAGAGCAAGACGCAGCTTCAGCCTTTATCGCGTTTGGTTTGTTTCATCTGGGCATCAGCTGCTGTTCATTTCGGCAAGGCTGGAGATCTTGACATTGGCTTCCTCCGCGTCATCTATAGTATCATAATATTGATAACATAATAAAACTGCAAGTTGCCTAGCTGATGATGGAGAAGATGATGCTAGGCCTCCTCGTGTTTCCTCTAGGCTCTCAATATTCTGTTCATAGTGCTAACGTAATATCACTGCTGGTATTACTCGCATATACTGAGTTGCGGTAAATGCAAGTAAGCATCGAGCACAAACAAAATCCTGAACCCCCTTCCCCCATACATTTCGTGTAGCATATTTTCAATGCCAACTGATGTGGTTCGTTCGAGACACGGAAGGCGGCGCGAAAAAACAAAAACAGAAAAAATTCCGATGGGCGGAGCCACCCAAAGCACTTAAACAGCGCAGTTCGTTCAATCTCATCACGCATTTCTGCCGGGATGGACGCGATCAATAGCATTCATTACAAGTCGATTCCCCAAGACGTCATTGGTCGGCTCGTCACAGGGTAGCATTAGCCTGTAGATGGGACTATGTCATCAATCAATACAAGCAAGGAACAGACAGCAATCCCTCGAAATACTAACGACGGCCCTCTTTTTTTCTTTCTCTCTTTAATCTTCTCTTATCTTTTAGTATACTAGCAGCACTAGGTACTCCGTATTCGAGCTCATCACCCGCCGTGTGATTCGGACTCGAACCTCCATCCATCACGAGACCGGTAGATGGCCGTCTTAGACACGAACATGCTGCGCCTCAATGCATCCCCGATTCCCCCCCAACAAATCTACAGTATTCATTCCCACGAGGACACTTGGCTATTACTTTGTGATATGAAATTCTAGGATCACGAAATTGACGGACCATCTGAGCCATCTGGGGGTCGTCACCAGCTTTATATCGTATTTTCCTTCATTACAATCTGTCGTGGAGATCCAATATCGTCATGCCTGTCATTGACTATTTCTCTCTGCTCTCCACACCAAAGCGGCTGCCTCCCTGAATCGTACTCGGTGGGACCCCTCGACCCATCTACTTCCAAGCTTTTCAGCACAGTGCCGACAAAGTGATCGACCTGCGCTCTGCTTCACATTTAGGGCGGCCCCCCTGGTCAAACCGGGTTCAAGGGGGTCAAGAGGGTCAAACTGGGATCGAAGTGTGTGCAAAACCAGAGGAAACAAAATCAAGAGCCCCTGGATAAGTGGACCTGGGACGCGCAAACATTGAACCACCCCTGGTCCCCGTCTCCCCGAGTATGTGGTGCATCCAGCCAAAGCAAAGCAAAACACGTCAAGCCCGGGCGTTAGTAAAGCTCCGTCCGATCTTGGGACACAAGGAAAAAGCAACGCGATCGGGGTTTAGCTGTCCGAGATCCTGTCACGACGCTTCTACCTGGTCATGATACTAGTGTCAGAGTATTCAAAAAACAGCCGTAGAAAGATAAACATAGAGAAAGTGAAACGGCAGATCAGAAGGAAAATAGGCAAAAAAATATTCCGGCGCCGGGAGTCGAACCCGGATCGCCGCGGTACTCTCAATATGAAAGCGCGGTATGCTAGCCACTACACCACGTCGGATTTGTTGGTCTGGGAATCCCGTGACCTTTGATGAAGGTTGGCAGTGATATTGGCCCTCATAAAGCCTGTGTCAAAGAGGCACAGACACTAAATGACGACATGACTCGAAAAGGGAACGAGAGCATCCTCATCCACTCATTCACTCACTGCACAAGCAATATATATCACGCCTCTCACTCAAAACCAAGTCTAGCTTTAATCATTTCGATAAGTTCATTGAAGACATGTGCAACAGACCTCTGTCCGTAGAGCTAGCGAAATCTATGTGCAGACATACTTCACCTTTAACATCGGGGCTGGGGCAATCTTGTCCAAAAACGCCATGTTGCCATCGCCTGGCATACCTTTTCTTCCAGTGTCACTTCTCAAGAGCCATCCCGTAGAATATCTATCCTTTCTCCAGTGATCCAAGTCGAGCACAGCGGCTCGTGCCAGATACTAATCTGGCTCTTGAATCTAGAGAATGTGGTATCAGAACCCCCAACTCCAGGTTGGAAAACAAAGAGACTGGGGATAAAAGGAGAGGAAAAAGGGAAAAGAGAAAAAAAAAAGCAAAGAGGCAAAAGAAAAATAGCCGAGAAAAAAGACGGCTGCCAAAAAGAATTGGCCATTAAGTGACCCGAAAGCGAAGTCGTCTGCAGCTATGTAGTCGCAATGTCTTGATTGTTAGTAAACCCGCTGGATTCCTACCTGGAATTCGCCTTTGTCCAAGAGCGTTGAAATGTATGACAGTCTATCCGACGGCACGTAGATGAGTATCGGATATATATCGTTAGACGTCACGCTGTTGACTGCGGTTAGTATTCCGTTATATTAAATGGGCCATCTCGCCCGATTGGGCATCATCCAGATGTAGCTGTGTGACAAGATATGTTGGGGAGGATTGGGTGTTGAATCATCGTCGTTAGTCTTGGTGTAATGTGATCAATCATGGTCGGCGGCGCTTGACGTCTACAAAACAATTAGCTTCCGTTTATCGCAGTCAGGGGCATCGAGCGGGCTTACCTTGTTCGTCTTCTGCGCCTTGCTCGTCCTCGGTTCGACGCCGTTTTGGTAGGCCAGAGGGTGTAGGCACGTCGTTGTCGTTTTTGGCATCATCGGCACCGTCCGCGCCATCTCTCCAGTCGATCTCCGGCATATCGTCATCAAAGGCGAGATCCTCGTTGGTAATTTCCTCGTCTTGCACCGCGCCAATGTCTAGCAAGGTAGAGATGGCTTCGGCATTATCGGCCAATGTGTTGGTCGTGCCGGTATCGGGCTCGTTGGACTCAATATATTCGTCCATCGGATGCATGGGAACCTGGCGAGATGTTCCATCGCCCCCTTCCACATGTACAATTTCTTCGTACTGAATCTCGCCCCCATCGGTTGCCATGGTCTCCTGAAGTTCCAAATGAATGAATGGGTTGGCGTCGGCATCGTCATCCTCATCATCTGTGAGTGGCTTGTTAGTACATAAGGAAACAAACATCGCCATCAAGTTGGTGGCCTTACCATATGAGTATGTTGCATCTGGTGCATCTTCTGCATCCGCATTCGCATGCGCGTTGTCGGAATGGTTCACTGAATCTACAACCACTGCCTGAAGCTGTTCATCTTTATACTCCTCATCCCCGCCATCACTGTAGTCGCCCTCCTGGTTCGCAATCTCTTCAACTTCTGCGATGAAGTCTTCAGTGTCTCGCATGAAATCTTCATCGTCATCGTCATCTTCTTCCTCTTCTTCCTCTTCCTCTTCTACTTCCTCTTCCTCTTCCTCCTCTTCTTCCTCTTCATCCTGATCCGCAGTGTCGACAGGCTGTTCTTCGATGGCTGAGGTTTCTTCCTCTTCCTCTTCCTCATCTTCTTCTGACGGCTCAGATTCTTCACTGCCGCCGTTGGCATCATTCTCATCATTCTCATCATCGTCTTCAACACTCTCGTGAGTTTCTGTGGCATCATTGGTTTCGCTGGCCTCATCATGGTCATCATCATGGTCATGTCCGTGATGGGTATCAACGGCGGCATGATGATGTCCGAAAGGAGACTCAAACAAATGAATTACTTCATCGAGGCCCCTACCAGCCGCTGCACTTTCAGCCAGGAACTCAAATCGTTTGCTAGCGTTCGACCTTGTGAAGAGGTACGTGTATAGAACTCGCGAACTATCGGGATCTTGGTTCTTCACCAACAAGTCAAACACCTCCAACACTTGTCGTAGTGTGATGGCTGCGAGTGACTTTTGTTCAGTGGTCTGTAGAGCAGTTAGTTTAGTTTCGTTGAAAAACAGCCATATATGGAAACGTACCTCTGTAAATTCAAGCCCGAGTTCGTCGACTTGAAAGACAAGTTCATCTTGTGCTGCGATTTCATTTTCTAGCTCTGCTCGAAAGCCAGCAAGCACCGAGTCCATTGAGTGATCCAGGACGGATACGTCAGAAAAGAAACCTTGCGTTTTATGTTGTGAAAAGAATGGAAATTCGTCCCCTTTATATTGTACAGTGATGGCCGGGAAATCGTGCTCATCAGAGGTTGGCTCCTCAGGCTGTGACAGCGATTCGTCTTGCTGATATTCCACAGAATCTTGTTCTCCCGGGCCATCCACCATTGTCTCCTCGTTATCAGAGCCCGTTGCATTGGTGTGCTGTTCGTGTTCGTATGCCTGGTCGCGTGAATCACTGTTCTGGGTTTCAGGGTGCTCGTATGATTCTTCATTCGTGGGTGGAATGGCCGTCTCGGAAACAATGGTCTCTGCAGCACCACTGGCAGCCTCTGGTTCATCCTCATGCTCCCACGTTATTTCATCTTCATCATCTTTAGCTGCTGGCTCCGGCACGTCAGCATTACCAGCAGGCTCTGTTGGTGGCTGAGGTACGGCGGGCTCTGCCACAACGGCATCGGCGACGTCTTCCACAGTGATAGTGTCGTGCACAGGATTCTCTTCCTCATCTAGATGATGGATTGGCTCATTGGTCGCCGTTTCATCGCCATCCTCATAATCAATCTCGTCTACTACCTGTTCGGACTCAACAACGACAACATCTTTGGATTGTTCCGTTTCCAAAGCAACATTTTCATCATGTAGTTCAGCGGTTACTTCTTCCGGCTGGTGGGATTCTTCGGCAATGTCGTCATGACTGTACACCGCATCGTCATGAGGGCGGTCTGCTCCCGTATCTTGGAAGCGTTCTTCGTCGTGTTTGAGTTCGGTATTTTTCGATTCGGTACCTACATAATCTTCGGCTGGGTGCACATGCTCTGGCGCACTTGAATTTTGCTCATCCTGGTGAGATGGCCATTGGTCGTGAGTCTGGTCATCGGTCGTATCGATGTCGTAGTCGATGAGGTCATCGTCGGCCTGCTCGTCAAATTTGATTGACGGGGCCAAGTCAACATCCATCTCAATCTCAGCCATGGCGTGTGACGGCCTGAGTGTTGGATTGCTGTATCGTTAATGCAAGGGTGTGAATTTCGGATAGGTATGGCAATGCTGCGATAGTCGTAATTCGATGGTTGACGGATTTGCAGGTATGCGTGAGCTTCTTGAGCTACACAGCAATATGGAAGAGGCGCTCTCTGGAGATCGAGACTGGAGATGCTCAGGGCAGTCCTTTGTTGAGTCGAGAGCTAGATGAATAGTTGTTGCGCCACTCACGATATCGTGTCTTCAGGTTGGTGGCTGGCGACAGGAGAGCGACACATTGATATCGAGAGAAAAGAGGAGAAAAGAAGAAACAGGATCGGGCGACACGGAAAACGCGTCGTATAAGAAGATGTTCAAGACAAAGGGATCGTAGTCGAGGCTGATGCTCAGATGCAGTGCAGCCTGATGAAGTTGCGGCTGAGGCTAATGAATGCGACAAACAAACTTTCCAAAGGCAGCTTTGCTGGATCTCTGGAGAAAGCTGGCCCACACGTGAGAGAGCTGACTAAAAGAGGAATAGCGGGTATGGGAGTCCGCTAAGTGCCTAGTACCTGATGTGTGCAGGCTTGGCTGCGGCAACGAGGGGTACTGGGGACTTGAAGTGAATGGCAGACAGGGGTAATTGGTGGCTCTTTGTACTCTCTACCTCTGTTGCTTGTGTTTTGAGAGGTGCTCAATGAAGCAACAAACAACACATCAAAGATATTCAAGAGTCGCTAATGGCTTGATGATTAGATCAGCAAAGATGTATTATATGAAGTATCTTTCATAAAATATTTTCCTCAAACTCTTATGGAGTAGATGGTGAGCTGAGCATTCAGGAGCTATTACGGTCAATATGCACACCAACAGCCCTCCCCTTCATTCAGGCTTGAGGTACCTGATACCTTATCTCTCAAGCCCCTCCACAGGCGTAACACGTGACGTCGCTTTTACAGCGAGCAGTAGCCTTGTCACTGAGTTAGCGACCAAACTCCAGCTCCTGAGTTAGACGTGGCTCAATTGAACCATCTGGACATCCCACCAAAGCCTCTTCCAGATTGCTCTTCAGTGCACAACAAGTCATTGCCAAAATGGTGCGCGCATAGCTCCAAAATGCCCCGAGAATCGAATTAATGTTATTGACAACTAACGGCTGGCCAGGTTGTTCTCGCGGCCTCCATCTGCACCCGAGGCGGGAAAGCTGTCCTCTCCAGACAGTTTCGAGAGATGCCCAGATCTCGCATCGAGGCTCTCCTTGCGTCGTTCCCCAAGCTGGCAGACAGCGGCACTCAGCACACAATCGTCGAGCAGGACAACGTTCGATTCGTCTACCAACCTCTCGACGAGCTCTACATGGTGCTCATCACCAACCGACAGTCCAACATTCTGCAAGACATCGACTCCCTGCACCTGTTCGCCCAGGTCGTCTCCAGCACCTGCAAGACGCTAGACGAGAGAGAAATTGTCCGAAATGCCTACGAGCTTCTCAGCGCATTCGACGAACTGGTCACACTTGGCTACCGAGAGAACCTGACCATCAGCCAGATCAGGACCTTTTTGGAAATGGAGAGTCATGAGGAGCGCATCCAGGAAATCATTGCACGGGTATGGACCC